AAATCAGTGAAACGAAAATGAGTGTCCGTGAAATAGAAAGTCCGCCCTCCATTTAGTTATGATGTCTAGGGTTAAATTGATTGATATGATCGATAGGCACAATCTATAATGTAGTGAAATGGAAAAACAGTACGAACCGTACGCTCATCCTTGCAGTTTACATCACATCTCCCAACGTACAGCAGTTGCTTTACCCCATCAGTATAACCACGCAACACAGCCAGATGGAGCAATGACATGGCGCGATGGAGTAGTAGAAAGACGACTCTGTAAGAAGATTTCATCAGAAAGGGATTGCTTTATGATATATTTGGCATTATTTTTTTTTATCTTGCGCATGAAACGTGAGTTTAACAGTTTTACACTAGAGCTTGTGTTCTGAATGAATTTTATGGGCTATGATCCTTTGCTATCTTTTATCCAGGAGCGGATCCAGGATTATTTGAAGGAGGGGTCCGCGGATGCGAAGCCAATCCTCCCCCCCCTCCTCCCCCCTTGGCGTTGGGTATCGGGAAAAAGCTATTTTACAGGGCGAACGGTGCAGTTTGGTAATGTATAGAATTATGATACAGCTAGTCAAAATTATAATTTCTGGAGGGGACCATTGGTGTGATTTTTTTAGATAAAAAGGGGGCGGTCAGGACCCCCCCCCCCCCCAACACCCCCTTAATCCGCCGCTGCTTTCATCTACCTTACAAACACTATGTTTTATTTCAACAGTGATTGGTAGTCGGGATTAAATAATTTAAACTAACTTACCAACTCTACTAACTGTACATAAGGTAATAAGACACAATCCAATCAAATGTTCTGCAGTATGTTTGCATTGTTTTACATTTGCAGATAAAATATTTAATCTTAATGTACCTTCATGTAGATTTTTTCTAGGGGAACAATTTACCTACATCACCAGAATCAATTTAATTTATGACATTTCGATAATGGAAAGTCGGGTGTTCCTGATGTATGTCATGAATCTACATGTAGGGGAATACCCCTTTTAAAAAGAGGCTGTGACGTTTCACAGTCAATAGAATATAAACAAAAAAATCCCCGTTTGCTTTTCATACATACATACATACATACATACATACATACATACATCGCATTTGAGTTTAAAAATATTACTGAAGCCAATGTGAAAAAAATCTTTTCATTTTTGGTAAATAAAATTAAGTAGTAATAACAGTTTATAGAAATTCTGAAAATTGACTCCTAGCACTATATCTAGTGCGCCCGGCCCGTCTTAAATGTACGTCAAAATAATCTGATCATATGAAAGTGACTTATTAACATACCACACAGCTTGTTCTAATGAAAAAGATTAAAAAAAAAAACATTTTAGTAGAATCTGGTACATGCATAAAACTTTAATAAGATCATTGAAAAGGGACACTTTCTAAAACTTTTCCTCATTTGTTTTTAAACACCATAAATACAATCAACTTACCAAATCATCTCTCTTGTCCAGAAATCTGAATCAATTGAAGTTGCTCCTTAAAACGGGATTGAACAGTGGAATAGTAGGGTTAGTCAACGAGTGTCTTCTTCAACTCTGTCTTATTCTCTGTAGCTGTTGCTTCACCTTTTAAAACCAACTGCTTTATCTGTAACCTAGTTTGTACATTGACTTATTATGGACTTTGATACATGTAGGCCTATCAGCTGTAAGGTTGATCAATATGATAAAGCCAGAATATATCAATCACTAACTTGATGCAAATTATGACATTTTGTATTACACTGATATTTCCCGCCGTCGGTAATTAATTCACTGTTTGCGTGGTCAGAAAATATGAGGAAAAAAAACTGCTAATTGAAATACCAGTGAAAACGTATTGCTGTCGATGGTCTGCAGGTCTTGAAGTGAATCAGAGATATGAATGCACTACGATATAAACCGATCTCAATCAACAACCGTACTTTCTACAGAATCCCTCTACCCACAAATGGTTAACTTAAAGTGATCACAACTGATTATTTTGGTCTTTGCATGGGATAGCTGCAAACTGGTTTAGGTGAGATGCAATGCAGCTTTTTAATCCATGATGGTGACAGTAACGTTTTTTCTCCTAAATTTAGTTACAAGGAAATCAAATGCAACATAAGGGGAATATCAGAGGGCTAAAATGTGTACCTATATTTGTCTTTATTTACTTCTGTCAAATTTGGTGTACAAGGTATTTCATTATCCACCACCAGAGCCACAGATTGATATTTCACTGTACTTATGCATCTGGTTAAATTGAAGTTACAGGTAAAAATCCACACATAAAATATAATATAATATGCGGTCCAGGTAGAGGTAATTTCTGATCGGGCGGGTGGCCCAAATGTGCTGAGGCAGTCTGTGTATATATAGTTATGCGCACATTTTAATTTATCATGTTTACCTTCAGGTTCATCAAGTTTACCTTCAAGTTTATGTTTACCTTCAGGTTCTCTCCATGTCGTGGTTATCTATGTACTTCTCAGTAGACGCAAAATATAGTAGATATCATGACACCCAAAGACTTCTCTAAATAAACACCTCAATTATAGCCAAATGTAATTATGTTCCGTAGGTTTAACCTTCACTCATAAGTACAAAATCTTGTAAATTTAAGAAAGTTAGACTTTCAAACTTGTACATCTTGTGTAGGTGACGTCATGCTCACCGCGGTAGTAGACCTAATAGCACAGACCATTATGATTTCAAAGGTGTTCTTCAGGCGCACTCCTAACGCAATGATTGCAATCCATTTGTTGGAAGATTGTGACGTGTTAAACTGCACACCTAATTTTTTATTATGTCTCGAGTAGCAGAAGATAACGAAATGAAGTGATTTCTTATAAACATGGCTTATCAACAATACATGCAACCTAAGCCATGATAATAAATAGTGAGGTCTTACAGTGATGATGATGATCATGTACCATGCAGTAGGTAAAATGAACGAGTATTCACCAAAATGCTGGACAAGTACAGTAGGCTTAATTGTCAAAAGGAAATCCATGATGCATTATATTTATGACATACGGATGTGATTATTACTTTGTTTTGCTATACAGATCTTCAGACTTGTAAGCATTGTGTTTTATTATAAGTATATCTTTTCCCTGATCAAA